GTCGGCAAAAAATGTCAATCCTGGAAGTTTTATAACTATAAAATAACTGCGTTAGCAGCAGCTGATGAAAAGGTGGAAAACCAGCTTGAACATTTTACTATTTGCTTTTATACGTTAACAGCACAACCATCTACGTGAATGACGTTTACTGCAATTTTACTCTGAGCCACGCCTTGGTGTACGTTTCCGTAATCAGCCGTTGTGAGATGTTTTATTCGGGAATAAGAATGAATTTTTAACGGCGGGTTTTCTTCACTCTGCAACACTGTCGAGCAAATTCAATAGATCTTCACCTTTCGATTTGTTTTCTGTTCCGTCCGTAATGTCCAGCTGCTGTAAACAGGCAGCGGCAGCGTTCGTTGCCATAGACACATCCATTTGTGCGATCGAACGATGGCCTTCCTGTCCATCTTCCTCTTCGTCAAACAGATTCACGCTGAAACAGTTGGATTCCTCTGAATCGATGGGATCTGAAAATGCTACTATAACTTATCAGCAGAAAAAATATACGTTATAAAAATTAATTGTGATATCATAATTAAAGAAAAAACTTACATCCACTCAACACAAATGACTCTGATAGATAGGGCAGGTTTTGACTGATCATTTTGTCGCCCTCAGCTAACAGGCTAATTAATGATTTTTGTTGTGCAGATAACTTTAGCTTTTGCAACATTTGGCTAATTATAGTTCCCCTATGCACGCATATGCCGCTTCGCAATGTAAGAGTGCATATCTCGGTTGCCAGTGTATGTTATGAGTCGATTTCACCAGACCCCGTTTTTCTGTATTGACGACGAGCTCCTTTGTATTGACGGTCATTCAAAGATCTCTCATTTTTTTCCGAATTCATATGCGCAGTCGCTCTTTCTCATTGTTTCTATCAGCTAAGGCAACCGTCTTATAAACTCAATATTATTTTGCACCCATCAGTGCCTATGGATCCAGGTATTTCAATTGATATTCGGAAAGGTTTATGTTCGATGTAAGAAAATAATGCGGTTTTGCGCTCATGCACTACAATTGTTTATATGCCATGGAGCAGTAGTTCATTGTCCTCTAGGCCAACAGAAGCAAGGCGACGGTGCGACACGCTATGTGAATCTGATGAAGAGGCAGGAGATTGATTTTTTCTACGGATGGTATCGAGAGCCAGCATTTTGCCAGTAAACTCAAAATAGTTGGGCCTATTTTTATCTTTCAATGGTTTTTCATCACCAAATTTATTCTCATTGAAGGCGCTACACATCATTAATTAAGTTTTCGGTAATTTAAGGCGACGACCTCATTCACGTGACAGAAAATCGTATTTCTCACGTTCTGGCATGACCAACCAAAATACCATATCGTTTTTATGGCTCGTCGATCATCGAAGCTGGTAAATTCCTTACTCAGGATAATTATCGTTTAAATAGAAGAATTTACGCTGCCGTTGGATTCGAACTCGCTGTTCTGCAATGCAAAGCCGGTTTCCCTTCCTCTGCGTTGCTGTCCTCAAATGAACTTAACACCTTTTATTTTCATTATGTGATAATCAGTCCTTCAAGATTAAATTTCATGATGTAGTGCTCCGTTCTCTGCTCCCGTTTGCTTAAGGAGTAATAAATAAACTGTGTTGTAGTGATATTTGAGCACCTATCCGGAGGTTTCATCCTGATCATCTCTGGCGGAGTTATTCGCCTCTTAACACATCGCCCGAGGTTGCTCGTTCGGTTGAGCATTGGATTCATAATGAGAGATGCCGGATTCGAGCATCGGTTGGGTCACTAGCCTTTCTTCCTTCCAAGATTGATAAATGAGTACCATTTTGTGGGAAGGAAATGGGGGACTACACGCTACGCTTGCCATATAGCTGCT